ACCCCAATCCCTTCTCCTCCATTCTCCTCTCGGGATCTTGGGCACGCACGCACACGCGCCCAGCGTGAGTTTTAAGCCACCGGGTCCAGGACGCAAACCGCGGTCAACTACATGGGAATCCAGCGACATAGCCATTACGCTAACTGCTGGTTCCCAGATACTCCGTAGTTCTTGAAAGTTAATAAACAACTTTCAAAATTTCCAAAAACTTGGGACCAGCAGTTGGTGTAATGGATTTGTCTCTGGACTCCCACGTAGTTGACCATGGTTTGAGTCCTGGATCTGGTGGCTTAAACTCATGCCAGGAGCGTGTGCGTGCATGCCCAAGATCCTGAGGTGAGAATGGAGGAGAAGGGATTGCAGCATGGTCGTCCCCCCCCCCAGAGGGGGGCAATTTCTCACTTTCTGCCTCTCTGTCTCTCTGTCTTTCTGGCGAGCGCATGCGCCCTATAGCAAAAACCTCTCCAAAAAAATTTTTTTCCCAAAAAACTGAATTTTAAAGATAAATTTCAAAATATTTGTTATAATTTTGTTTATGACTCTATAACAATAGAGACAGCATGGTTTTCAATATCTTTGAGGAAATATTTACATGTCAACTGCTCAAATTGTTGAGGAACAAACACTCAGCACACAAGTTACACGTGAACCTTCCCAACTCAGTTCTGCCTACCAAGTGTTCTGTGGTTTGCTGACTGCTAGCAAAGATCAGTCTCTTTTTCTTCCTTCAGAGTCTTTCTAAAGGTAATCCTCTGGTTGTGGCTGCTTTTTTGCAATCTCTACTGATTACAAAACTGGGCTGGAAAAGTCCAGGTTATTTCATGGTATGAATTCTTTCATATAGCTTCTCTAATCCTGTCAGACAGAACTGTTTATGGTGCCAGGCCATCTTTACAAGGGCTTCTGTTAGCTTTCTTGAGATCTACATTCGTTCCATAGTTTTCTGGTTCTTTCTTCAGATATGACATTCCAGTCAAAATCCTGGTCATTATGAGTATCTTCAGTTTCTTATGCAAGGCAACAGGTATTATTGAACTTATGCAAATAACCCTTCTGCCACAAAATAAGAATACTCACAAAAATTTTCCAATTCCAGAAGCATCAGGAAAGGAAAAAAGTTTATGTTTTGATTTCAAAAAACAAACAAGCAAAAATAAATTTTTTGCAAATTGCTGAGCTTATCAACAGCTCAAAAGAAAACAAAATCTTTAAATCTGGAAAGCAATGTGTAGTAAAAAAATCAGTAATGTTTTAGTCAAAAGTTATAAAATTCTATTTCACCAGTTTATTTTCATGTCATCTTTCTTCTGTTGAATTTACAGTGTTACTGTGGTTCTGTCTTTCCGTTTATATCCTGGAAGTTAATATTTAATGTCATTATTGATATTTCCAGACTTGTCCCTTGCATTTTCTCGATTGTTCTTTGTTCTCTTATTTCTGTCTACCTTTAGTTTTCCTGATATAGCACTCCCTTCAGCACTTCTTGGAGAGTTGGTCTGGAGTTGGTAAATTCTTTGAGGTTTTGTTTATTTGAGAATGTTCTTGTCTTCT